TTAAATATTCATTCCAGTCCAGGAAGAGTAATAAGGTGGAAGCCTGAGAGGCTCATTCTGTTAAGCATCTGCCTTCAGCTCAGGTCATGATCCCAGGGTTCTGGGATCAAATTCCACATCAGGCTCCCTGCTCAGCAAGAAGCCTGCTTCTCCCACTGCCTGCTTCTCCCCCTGCTTGTTCTCACTTGCTCTGTCTCTCTCTAACAAATAAATAAAATCTTAAAAAAAAAAAAAACTGTAATAAGGAGAAAAAGAAAAGTTACCCCAAAAAGTTACACAGAATTCTCATTCAAGTCATTTTTCAAAGGGAAGATCACTCTGGATTGGCAGCATCATTTTTTAATAATTTTATTTACTTATTACTCAGTTTTCCAATCTCTTGCTTACTTTTTTTAAAAAATTTTATTTATTTATTTGACAGAGAGAGATCACAAGTAGGCAGAGAGGCAGGCAGAGAGAGAGAGGGGGAAGCAGGCTCTTTGCTGAGCAGAGAGCCCGATGTGGAGCTCGATCCCAGTACCCTGGGATCATGACCCGAGCCTAAGGCAAAGGCTTTAACCCGCTGAGCCACCCAGGTGCCCCAATCTCTTACTTATTTTATGACCAGATTGATATACCTCAGGCTGATCTAATCATCTCTTGTTTTCTCTGGCTTTGTCTTTCTTTGTCTTTGTACAAACAGCATAGTGATTAAAAGTACAGGCTTTGCAGACAAACAAAACTCAAATCCCAAATGTGCTACTTTAGGCAAGTCAATTAGTCTTATTTCCTCTTTCTAAAATGGAAATATTAATACCCATTTCATGGAGTTATCATGAAAACCAAACAAAGTAATGCATACAATGTGTGTACTACCAGCATCTAGTATATGGGTGTTTTAATAAATAATAGCTATTATCATTGCTACCTTTTCAGCATTGTCATCAAGAGAACATACTGTCAAAATTTTATTAAGGAACAAATGAAAATCACCTGTAAAGAAGCTGGGACGGGATCCCTGCAATCATTTTTTAAAATTTAATCAAAAGCACTGTCTGTAGTCTATAGGGAGGGTACAGCTTGACAAAAACGTCCCAGATCCAGTTCTTTTTTATTTTTAATAGTTCTATCTTGGCAGTGCTTTTCTGTCTCCATTTTACATTCTTACAAGAATTTTAAAACTGCAGTCATCAAACATATGCCTTCATCTTTTCATACATTTTGGCTCTTAGTTTCATTGAGAAGAATAAAAGCTTTTAATTATTCATTTAAAAGTGTATTTAAGGGACGCCTGGGTGGCTCAGTTGGTTAAGCAGCTGCCTTCGGCTCAGGTCATGATCCTAGCGTCCTGGGATCGAGTCCCACATCGGGCTCCTTGCTCTGCGGGGAGCCTGCTTCTCCCTCTGCCTCTGCCTGCCATTCTGTCTGCCTGTGCTCGCTCTCTCTCCCTCTCTCTCTGACAAATAAATAAAATCTTTAAAAAATAAAATAAAATAAAAGTGTATTTAAGGTAAGATGCTTTTAATAAGAAACCACCTGAATCAGAGTGTCCACATACATGGTTTTTTTTTTCCCCCCAGTAAGGCTTTAACTCTTTTGCCAATTGGAAATTAACACAAATTCAACCAAGAAAATCTAAGACATGATTTATCTAGACATCAAGAACACATTTGATTAAGTACCACCCCAAAGAGAATCTGCAAGACCAGCAACTCTATTTGGTCATAAACTACTTCAGTGAATAACACACTCTAATGAAGGATGAAGATGAATTATCTTTGTTAGTGGTAATGCTTCAGAATGGAGAGCAGAAATAAATACCACTACAAATGACTATTAGGCTTACTTTATTTTTCCCACTTTAAGGGACTGGAGAAAATAAATATTTAATGAAAGAAGAAAATGGGGCATTATAAAACCAGCTAACAGAAGCTAGCAGAGCTTTATTGAGAAAAACTATTGGGTTCTAAAATCAAATCCAACCCAAAGCAATTCACACACTGAGAACTGGGGCCCAGTGTTTTCAGTATCTTTGCAGCTCTTATAACCACTAAAGCAAAATTCTATAACATTCATTAAATCATGGACACTGAAGTTGGAAGAATCATCTGGTCTGGTATTTCTAAACTTTAATCATTCTACAACTTTTGTCACATCCTGCATATAATAAATATTCTTATTTACTTAATATTTTACTAACAACACACTTTTATTTTTGTTTTTAAAAGTTTATATTCAAGGACCTAGGGGGCTCAGTCAATTAAACATCTAACTGTTAATTTCAGCTCAGATCATGATCTCAGTTGTGGGATCAAGCCCCACATTGGGCTACATGCCTGTTTAAGATTCTCTCTTCCTCTCCCTCTTCCTCTCCCTCTTCCCCTCCCTCCCATGCTCATTCATATTTTCTCTCACTCTCTCAAAAATAAGTAAACAAACAAATAAATGAATGAATAAATTAATTTTTGAATAGGCACTTTTTTAGGTATGTTCAAGAGAAAATCTACATTTTTGCTTTGAATATAATATAACATATAACATTTTGTTAAAGTACTAGCTATTTTGCCCTAATACACATTAAACCTAATACACATTAGGTGTGTCCTAATACACACCTAACATTTAAGATTTCTTCATTCACAATCCACCTAAAATTATCTTCTCTATCACAAATGATACTCATAGTAGACATTGGAAAACATGGGTCTAGTTCAACCTTCTATACATGAAACTATATCAGACACAGATTTTTATATACCTCCCCAGGATCCCTCAGAGACATCTGTCTCCCAGACCCTCAGCTGCTCTGTGTACCTCAGCAATCACCGCTTATATCCAAAGGATTCTTCCACTTGACAGCAACAAGCCACATGCTCAGGAGTCCTCGCTGCTTCTCACCTTTGGCCACCTAAAAGCAACATGGTTGACCAACACTACACATGGGGTTACAGGCTGTTTTCCACCACTTCCAGATTTAGACAGACATCACACACAGGTATGGGATTTGACACACAGCAGCTTTTAGAGGTGCTGGATGATAAATGTTATAAGTGCAGGGGATTTTATTCACAGAGCAAATTTGACCTATAATTCCTCTATTTATTTTGTTCCCACAAACTAATTTAGGCACAATTTCTCTTTAAACCCATCCTGAAAATTCCCTTACACAAAAATAGACTTACTATGAAGCACCCACCTGTGTCTCTTTGAGGTCTCTTGTGAAATGAAACCTGATTTCTCAGTGCTTCACAGCCCTCCTTGCCTCACCAGCCCTTTTCCTCCCTCTCTCAGCCCTAGTTTGGCATCTCCCAAATAAAGCATTAACACTTTAACTCTTTCCTCAAGATCTGTTTTCTAGATTAAGAACAGATTTTTTAAAATGCCCTTTCAGTCCTTCCTAGTACATCATTCTATCTCACCTGACAATCTCTAATGACATACAACTTATTGACACACAAGTGAGCCTTTCTGATTTCACACAGCTCTTATTAGTAGAATATTCCTATAGTGACGTGTAGTCTATTACAATCTCATTGAGCCTTTAGTCCAGTGCATGTGGGCACTGGCAAGGGAGAACAAGAAGAATTTGCTGTGGTACTGGTCCACACAAATCATGCTAAGAAGGCTCAATAAGTTTATATAAAATCACTAAAGAATAATATTTGGCTAGTACCAATCTGTAACAGCTTGTCCCAGGGTGTCTAGAAAATGAGAAAATAAAGTTTAGAGAGTTTTTTATAAAATTAACTTTATTCATTTGTAGAACTCTTTTATTCTGATATTATGCCCTTTCTGCCTTTTTCTATTTAGAATACCCTTTCTTTTATTAAATGATGATGACAGTAGATAAAAATAGGTTAAATGTTCCTTCTTGACTATATACAAAATGACAATTTCATAATAGTCCCCACATTCAGGAACTATTATCATTAAATTTAGTGATCTTAATGACTGAATGGACAACTAAGTTGATAAAATTAAAAGCTAAACAGAGATGAAAGTTGAGATACGAGATAAATCCAACAGGATATCTTATTATTAATATTAATATCCATGACTAAGAGATTAGGCTACATGGTCTTGTCTATGTTCTAGAAACTCTTTGTTGATATTTTCCCATCTAGATCCTTAAATACTTACCAGGATGAGAAATATTTGATCATATGTTACAGCTTTATTAGTAAACTTTCATCTTTCATTGCCACTTATACTGGCATCTCATCTTTCTTTTCAGGTTCATTTAACACTTGTACCATGTGAGACAACTGTCATATCATGCTGTCAATAGTAAATTTGCTATCAACCTGGTAGTCATTTTCATTACACACAAAATTGTTATTGAATTTCTCCAAGAAATGATTGATAAGCTGTGTCTGTTTTGACATGTCATGCTAATGATGAAGGGAAACAGTAAAAAAAAAAATTTAATGATGCATTCTAAATGATGGAAATGTGGCTCCAGGGCAATGGGAAGTGATTACTGGCAATACCTTCTTCAGTTTAGACTCAGACTACAGAGCCAGGTCAGAACTTCATCCAAAAGAGTCTTCTGATGCCAAACACCAAGGTAGTTTCTGAGACTGATGATTTTAGTGACTTTATCTAAAAGTACAACAACTATAGGGAGCCTGACCCCAAAAGCAACATATGAATGCCCAAAGAGACAGTCTAACTGCACCCATCTAATAACAGCTGTCATAATCAATAATGATAACAATAATATATAGAGCTCTTATTATGTGCCAGGCCACATGATAAGTGCTTTACATGCATTATATCACTCCATCCAATTGTATATTGTCTATCTCCCTCACAACAATGTAAGTTCCAAAACACAAGGACCTGGCTTACCTTGTTCAGCATTTTCTATAGTTTCCTACAATAGCACCCAACACATGGAATATTCTCATTAATATCCATTCATAAATGAATGAATGTATGCATGAATGAATGACTATCTTCTTCTTCTTTGAACTTGGTACTTGGGATCTTCAGATAAAACTTGAGAATTCTAAAGAGAAATCTGGAAAACACTGAAGAAGCTGAAAACAGATAGGTTATGAACTATGTTTTTTAAAAGGCTATAAAGTTGTCACAGTTTTCCTTCAACTGTAAGATCTGAATCAATAGTGAATTTACATTTCAAACTAATGAAAAATATTTTATTGCTGTTTATCATATGCTCCTATATGAGTCCAAGGACAGATTTAAACAAAGATAATCAATGGCCTTATGAGAAACCAGGATTATGTAACAACGTGGACAAAGAACTGCATTTAAACATGCAAAGTTTTCCTAAAGTTAATTGAAGAAGCAGCCCATGTGACCTAATTTTTTTGTTGTTGTTGTTTTATTTATTTATTTCACAGAGAGAGAGAGAGAGAGAGAGAAAGGGCACACAAGCCAGGGTAGCAGTAGAGGGAGAGGGAGAAGCAGGCCCTCCACTGAGCAGGGAGACCCACGTAGGGCTCAATTCCAGGACCCTGGGATCATGATCTGAGTTAAAGGCAGCTGCTTAACAAGTGAGCCACCAAGGTGCCCCTCATGTGCCCTAATTCTTGTGAAAAGTTGCTCAATATCTGTGTGTCAGCCTGACTATCTTCCAGACCTTCTCTATAAAGAGTACAACCAAAGCTGCCAATTTGTAGACATTCCAGAACAGCGTCATTGGGAATATTACAAACAAAATGAAATTGTTGATGATGATTTTAATGATAAAAAACTAGAGTTGTGGTAAACTTAAACTTACTTTTCAGGATTTCCCTGAAGATCATCTCAGAGTTACTAATGTGGAAACATTGTCAAACAATGGAGTGGTATTCTCTAATTGTTGGGACATCAGTTTAACCATTCTGCTAGAACATTTGCAGTCTTTGCCCACACAATTCCCTCAGGCCAAGGGGACCACCCTTGCAGTACAGACAACTTGTCTCAAAATTGCTTTTAGTTTTATCCACCAAAATGCATCCTGTGACCATTTCCTCTCTGGTCTTGCCATATCCACAAGCAGGGGACACAGAAGCAGATCCTCTACATCAGCCAAACTATCATAACTGCAACTCTGACCAAGATCTTGACTGCTTTCTCATGAAGGAGTTAGACCCAGAACCACCTAGCTAAATTCTTCTGATCTCTTCCTTTAAGTAAAAGGGGATTTCTTTTCAGTCCTGGGGAAATCTTTTCTTTTAAGTTTTTATTTATTTATTTTTAAAGGTTTTATTTCTTTTTGAGACAGAGAGAGTGCTCATAAGCACTGGGAGGGGCAGAGGGAGTGGGAAAAGCAGACTCCTCACTGAACAGTGACCCTGATATAGAGCTTGATCTCAGGATTCTGAGATCATGACCTGAACCAAAGGCAGATGCTTAACAGACTGAGCACCCATGACCCCCAGAGTGGGCTTTCTAACACAAAAAGTCAGATTGTACCATGTTCACTAGCCTGTCTGAAGTGGTTCAGAATCCCTTGTTTCCTTTGAATAATTAATCCAAAAATGAAACCCTTCATGATCTGGTCTCTGCCTCTCCAGCCATTATTAGCTCCAGGGGTATTAGCTCCAGGGTCTGTGAATCGTCAAGCTTACACACTTCCCATCACTCACCATAGCACATACCTTCCCCAGTGCCCATAAACCAACCACCCTCTCCCTACCCCTCCACCCCCCCGACAACCCTCAGTTTGTTTTGTGAGATTAAGAGTCTCTTATGGTGGGATGTCTGGGTGGCTCAGTCGGTAAAGCAGCTGCCTTTGGCTCAGGTCATGATCCCAGGGTCCTGGGATTGAGTCCCACATCAGGCTCCTTTCTCAGTGGGGAAACTGGTTCTCTCTCTGCCTCTACCTACTTATTCTCTCTCTCTCTCTCTCTCTCTCTCTCTCTCTCTTGGTTTGTCTCCCTCCTGATCCCATCTTGTTGCATTTTTCCTTCCCTACCACCAAACCCCCACATTGCCTTTCAACTTCTTCATATTAAGGAGATCATATGATAATTATCTTTCTCCGATTGACTTATTTCACTCAGCATAATAACCTATAGTTCCATCCACATTGTTGAAAATGGCAATATTTCATTTATTTTGATGGCTACATAGTATTCCATCGTATATATATATACCACCTCTTCTTTATCCATTCATCTATTGATGCACATCTAGGTTCTTTCCATAGTTTGGCTATTGTGGACATTGCTGCTATAAACATTCCTTTGCATGTGCCCCTTCAGATCACTACATTTGTATCTTTAGGGTAAATACCCAGTAGTGTGATTGCTGGTCATAGGGTAGCTCTATTTTCAACTTTTTGAGGAACCTCCATGTTGTTTCCCAGAGTGGCTGAACCAGCTTGCATTCCCATCAACAGTGTAGGAGGGTTCCCCTTTCTCTGCATCCTTGCCAGCATCTGTTGTTTCCTGACATGTTAATTTTAGCCATTCTGACCAGCATGAGGTGGTATCTCATGGTGGTTTTGATTTGTATTTCCCTGATGCTGAGTGATACGGAGCACTTTTTCATGTGTCTGTTGGCTGTCTGGATGTCTTCTTTGCAGCAATGTCTGTTCATTTCCTCTGGTCATTTCTTGATTGGATTATTTGTTCTTTGGGTGTTGAGTTTGCTAAGCTCTTTATAGATTTTGGATACTGGCCCTTTATGTGATATGTCATTTGCAAATATCTTCTCCCATTCTGTTGGTTGTCTTTTGGTTTCCTTTGCTGTGCAAAAGCTTTTGATCTTGATGAAGTCCCAATAGTTCATTTTTGCCCTTGCTTCCCTTGCCTTTGGCGATGTTACTAGGAAGAAGTTGCTGCGGCTGAGGTTGAAGAGGTTGCTGCTTGTGTTCTCCTCAAGGATTTTGACAGACTCCTTTCTCACATTGAGGTCTTTCATCCATTTGGTGTGCATTTATGTGTGTGGTGTAAGGAAATGATGCGGTTTCATTCTTCTGCACATGGCTGTCTGATTTTCCTGACACCATTTGCTGAAGAGACAGTCTTCTCCATTGGACATTCTTTCCTGCTTTGTCAAAGATTAGTTGACCATAGAGTTGAAGGTCTATTTCTGGGCTTTCTATTCTGTCCCACTGATCGATGTGCCTGTTTTTGTGCCAATAACATACTGTCTTGATGATGATAGCTATGTAATAGAGTTTGAAGTCTGGAATTGTGATGCCACCAACTTTGGCTTTCTTTTTCAACATCCCTCTTGGTATTTGGGGTATTTTCTGGTTCCATATTAATTTTAGGATTATTTGTTCCATTTCATTGAAAAAAAAATGGATGGTATTTTGATAGGGATTGCATTAAACATGTAGATTGCTTTAGGTAGCATAGACATTTTCACAATATTTGTTCTTCCAATTCATGAGCATGGAACATTTTTCCATTTCTTAGTATCCTCCTCAATTTCTTTCATGAGTACTTTATAGTTTTCTGAGTACAGATTATTTGCCTCTTTAGCTGGGTTTATTCCTATGTATCTTATGGTTTGGGGTGCAATTGTAAATGGGATTGACTCCTTAATTTCTCTTTCTTTTGTCTTGTTGTTGGTGTATAGATATGCAACTGATTTCTGTGCATTGATTTTATATCCTGACACTTTACTGAATTCCTGTACAAGTTCTAGCAGATTTGGAGTGGAGTCTTTTAGGTTTTCCACATAAAGTATCATAGAGTCTGCAAAGAGTGATAGTTTGACTTCTTCTTTGCTGATTTGGATGTCTTCAATTTCTTTGTGTTGTCTGATTGCTGAGGCCAGGACTTCTAGTACTATGTTGAATAGCAGTGGTGATAATGAACATCCCTGCCATGTTCTTGACCTAAGCGGAAAAACTCTCAGTTTTTCTCCCTTGAGAATGATATTCGCAGTGGGTTTTTCATAGATGGCTTTGATGATATTGAGGTATGTACCCTGTATCCCTACACTATGAAGAGTTGATCAAGAAAGGATGCTGTCCTTTGTCAAATGCTTTTTCAGCACCTATTAAGAGTATCATATGGTTCTTGTTCTTTCTTTTATTAATGTATTTTATCACATTAATTGATTTACAGATGTTGAACCAACCTTGCAGCCCTGGAATAAATCCCACTTGTCATGGTGAATAGTCCTTTTAATGTACTGTTGGATCCTATTGGCTAATATTGGTGAGAAATTTTACATCTGTGTTCATCAAGGATATTGATCTGTTATTCTCCTTCTTGATGGGGTCTTTGTCTGGTTTTGAGATCAAGGTAATGCTGGCCTCATAAAATGAGTTTGGAAGTTTTCCTTCCATTTCTATGGGGGGGGGGACAGTTTCAGGAGAATAGGAATTAATTCTTCTTTAAATGCTTAGTAGAATTCCCCTAGGAAGCTGTCTGGCCCTGGGCTCTTGTTTGTTGGGAGATTTTTGATGGCTGCTTCAATTACTTACTCGTTATGGGTCTGTTCAGGTTTTTTATTTCATCCTGTTTCAGTTGTGGTAGTTTATATGTCTCTAGGAATGCATTCATTTCTTCCAGATTGTCAAATTTGCTGGTCTATAGTTGCTCATAATATATTCTTATAATTGTTTATATTTCTTTGGTGTAGTTTTGATCTCTCCCCTTTCTTTCATGATTTTATTTATTTGGGTCCTTTCTCTTTTCTGTTTGATAAGTCTGGCCAGGGGTTGATCAACCTTATTAATTCTTTCAAAGAACCAGCCCCTAGTTTCATTGATTTGTTCTATTGTGTTTTTGATTTTGTTTTTTGTTTGTTTGTTTTTGTTTTTGTTTTTGTTTGTTTGTTTTGTCGTTGTTGTTGTTGTTGTTTCTATTTCATTGATTTCCACTCTGATCTTTATTATTTCTCTTCTCCTGCTGGGTTTAGGCTTTTTTTGTTGTCCTTTCACCAGCTCCTTTAGGTGTAGGCTTAGGCTGTGTATTTGAGATTCTTGTTTCTTGAGAAAGGTTTGTATCACTATATATTTACTCTCAGGACTGCCTTTTCTGTGTCCCATAGATTTTGAACAGTTGTGTTTTCATTATTATTTTTTCCATGATTTTTTTTTTAATTCTTCTTTAATGTCCTGGTAGACTGATTCATTCTTTAGTAGGATGTTCTTTAGCCTCCATGTATTTGGGTTCTTTCCAAATTTCCTCTTGTGATTGAATTCTAGCTTCAGAGCATTGCGGTCTGAAAATATGAAGGGAATGATCCCAATCTTTTGGTATCAGTTGAGACCTGATTTGGGACCCAGGATGTGATCTATTCTGGAGAATGTTCCATGTGCACTAAAGAAGAATGTGTATTCTGTTGCTTTAGGATGGATTGTTCTGAATATATCTGTGATGTCCGTCTGGTCCACTGTGTCATTTCAGACCTTTATTTCCTTGTTGATCTTTTGCTTGGATGATCTGTCCATTTCAGTGAGGTGGGGAGGTGTTAAAGTCCCCTACTATTATTATATTATTGTTGATGTCTTCCTTCGATTTTGTTATTAATTGATTTATGTAGTTGGCTGCTCCCATGTTGGAGCATAGATATTTAAAATTGTCAGATCTTTGTGTTGGACAGATCATTTAAGTATGATATAGCATCCTTCCTCATCTCTTATTATAGTTTTTGGCTTAAAATCTAATTTGTCTGATATAAGGATTGCCACCCCAGCTTTCTTTCAATGTCCATTAGCATGGTAAATTGTTTTCCACACTCTCACTTTAAATCTGGAGGTGTCTTTGGGTCTAAAATGAGTTTCTTGTAGACAGCATATTGATGGGTTTTGTTTTTTTAATCCATTCTGATACCCTGTGTCTTTTGATTGGGGCATTTAGCCCATTTACATTCAGGGTAACTATTGAGATATATGAACTTAGTGACATTGTATTGCCTATAAGGTGACTGTTACTGTATATTGTCTCTGTTGCTTTCTGCTCTATTACTTTTAGGCTCTCTCTTTGCTTAGAGGACCCCTTTCAATATTTCCTGTAGAACTGGTTTGGTGTTTACAAACTCTTTAAGTTTTTTTTGTCCTGGAAGCTTTTTATCTCTCCTTCTATTTTCAATGATAACCTAGCTGGGTATAATATTATTGGCTGCATGTTTTTCTCACTTAGTGCTCTGAATATATCATGCCAGCTCTTTCTGGCCTGCCAGGTCTCTGTGGATAAGTCTGCTGCCAATCTAATATTTTTACTATTGTATGTTACAGACTTCTTGTCCTGGGCTGCTTTCAGGATTTTTTCTTTGTCACTGAGATGTGTAAGTTTTACTATTAGATGACGGGGTGTGGACCCATTCTTATTGATTTTAGGGGTGTTCTCTGCACTTCCTGGATTTTGATCCTTGTTCCCTTTGCCATATGAGGGAAATTCTCCATAAAATTCACTCCAATTTACTTTCTGCCCCCTCTCTCTTTCTTCTTCTTTTGGAATCCCAATTATTATAATGTTGTTTCATCTTATGGTATCACTTACCTCTTGAATTCTCCCCTCATGGTCCAGTAGTTGTTTTTCTCTCTTTTGCTCAGCTTCTTTATTCTCCATCATTTGGTCTTCTATATCACTAATTCTCTCTTCTGCTTCATTTATCCTAGCATTAAGAGCCTCAGTTTTTTATTGCACCTCATTAATAGCTTTTTTTTAAATTTCAGATTGGTTAGATTTTAGTTCTTTTATTTATCCAGAAAGAGGTTTTATTTCTCCAGACAACGTTTCTCTAATATCTTCCATGCCTTTTTTGAGTGCAGCTAGCACCTGGATAATCATCATTCTGAACTCTAGATCTGACATATTACCAACGTCTGTATTGATTAGGTCCCTAGCCTTTGGTACTGCCTCTTCTTTTATTTATTTATTTATTTTTTAATGGTGAGTTTTTCCACCTTGTCATCTTATCCAGAAAAGAATATATGAATGAGAGAATAAAATACTAGAAGAGTGGTAAAAACTCCAGAAAAATATGCATTAACCAAACCAGAAGAGACCCCAAATCATGGGAAGAAGAAAGGGGGTAAAAAGAAGTTCAAAAATAAATTAAAAAAAGAAAAAGAAAATATACATATTAGACTGGTGACTAGAACAGAGCCACCCACTCAATTTGGGGTGTATTTTGGTCTCTTAGAAGAAACTACCTCCCAAAATTTTAAAGAAGGAAAAACATATCTACACAAAAATAAATATAAACATGATGAAGGGATAATATGACAGTAAAGATGAAAATTTAAAAAAAAAAATCTTTAAAAGGACTTGATAAGGTAAGTTGGTTGGGAAAAGAAAGAAAAAGAAAGTGAAGAGAATTTGCTCAGGCTGGAGACTAGAACAAACCCTGTGCTAGATTTAGGGTATATTTTGATCATTAGAAGTTGTATCCCAAATTTTTTTAGAAGGAAAAACCTATGCATATACAAAAGATAAAGGTAGATACAATGAAGGATAAAATATGACTATAATAATAAAGCTTCAAAGAAGTTTTTTTAAGAAACGTATTGTTAAGATAAACTAGTTAAAAAATGTTAAAAAGGAAAGAGTCAAAGTTAAAAAAAAATAGAATAAGAAAAAAATCAAATTAAAAAGATTTAATTAACTTTGCAAGACTAAAGAATCATGAGGATAAAGCCACGAATTCCATGCCTTGCTTTCCCCTTCTCTGGAATTCTGTTGTTCTCCTTGATCAGCGAGCTTGGTCTTGGCTGGATTTCTTGATGATCTTCTTGGGGAGGGGACTTTAGTAGTGATTCTCAAGTGTCTTTGCCCAAGGTGAAATTGCACCACCCTTGCCTGGGGCCAGGCTACTGCTCTGGTTCACTCTCGGGAGCTTTTGTTCCCTGAGTACTTTCCATAGAACTCTGGAGGATGGGAATGAAAATGGTGGCCTCCCACTCTCTGACCTGGAGGAGCTTAGAGCTCGGGTCCCCAGTCTTCAGTGAGCCCTCAGAGAAAAGCGCTCAATCACTCCCATCTCCCTGGTCTCTGGCTGTGCTCCAAGCTCACCTGGCCTGTGAACAAGTGTTTCTGTTTCTGGCAACAGCCCAATTTGGAGTCATCAAGCTCAGGAGATTCCTGCCACTCTTCAGGGGGTGGTCTCCCTGGATCTGCCACTTGTGGGGTCCCTGCTCAAAGAGCAGTGGTCTGACCGTGCTACAGATCACAGTTCAATGTAATCCCAAACTGAGAGCTCTCTTCAGCTATCTCTCTGTAGCTGACTTCCCTTCTCTAATACTTGCAAGTTCTGAAAACTCAGACATCCCCAATCCTTCTGTGACCCCGCAGGACCTGAGACCATGCTGTCCCCATGAGGGCTCCACCCCGACTTAGCCTCTGGAATGATGTTCCTCAGTGGAGCAGACTTCCAAAAGTTCTGATTTTGTGCTTGTTGCTCTGCCACTTGCCAGGAGCCAGCCCCTTCCCCCGTGGTCTATCTTCCCATTGCTTCATATTCACTTCTCCGCAGGTCCTACCTTTCAGAAATTGGTCAATTTTCTGTTTCTAGAATTGCTGCTCTTCTTTTCTTTGATCTCCTAATGGATTTGTAGGTGTTCAGAATGGTTTGATAACTATCTAGCTGATCTCCTGCTACCTGATATCATCTCAGCCTCCTACTCCTCTGCCATCTTGACTCTTCTCTGAGAGAGAGAATCTCAAGCAGGCTCCATGCCCAACACAGAACCCCAACTCAGAGCTCAATCTCAAGACCCTATGATCATGACCTGAGCCAAAAATCAAGAGTCAATCACTTAACCAACTGAGCAACGCAAATGCCCCCAGACTTACTTTTCTCTGAGATCATTCCTGACCTTCCCCCATCTGTGATTGGGAGCCTCTTTTCTGAGTACCAATAGCACTCCATGAAAACCACACCATTGGAATTATTGCTTTGCTAATCTTTTCCCAGTAGTTCCTGAGCTCCTTGAGACCATGAATTCTCTTTTATTTCTTATCTCCAGGATCTGACACAGTGATCTACAAATAGTTAATGTTCTGTAAACCACTCTTGATTTACTGTGTAATTATACAATTTATGCCATTATAATAAGGCTGTTTTCTACATTACATATCTAGCACACTGGATATATGTCAAGCAAATTAAAATAACAATAATAAGTTTTGCTGATCAGGGCACCTGGGTGGCTCAGTAGGTTAAGCATCTGCCTTTGGCTTAGGTCAAGATCTCAGGTTCCTAGGGTCCATCCCCACCTTAGGCTCCCTGTTCAGCAGGTAACCTATTTCTCCCTCTCCCTCTGTGGCTTCTCCCTGCTTGTGTTCTCTCACTTTCTATGCAAAAAGAAAAACAAAATATTTTTTAAAAATGATAAATTTTGCTGATCAATTCTAAACTCACTAAGTTTTTTTTTATTTTTTTCTAAAACCATTGTTTTCATTTTATCTTAAATATCTGGAATTCTTAATTCATCTTTGATATCAGTAACAGGTTCTATTTTTTGGCATTCCTAGAAAAAGAAAAAAAAAAACAATAAATAAAGCACATATGGAGACAGGATGGCGGGGAATTAGGAGGAGGTGCCTTTTCAACCTGTACCCTAAAGTGAGCTGATTACCTACCAAAAAATTCTGATCACCCATGAAAAAAGCCTGAGACCAGAATTATACACGTCTGGATCTCTACAGGGGCAGAAGATGCCAGTGGGCAGGTAAAGCGGAGTGGGAACTTTGGACTCATATCGAAAGATAAACAAAAGGGGGAGGGAGCCACCAGAGGCAACCGATTGAAAAGTAATACCCCAATCTGAGAGTGCCCTGCGTCTGGGGACCAGCATTAACTTGGAGTCTGGCTGAAAGCACTCAAAGAGAGCAATGGATTGAGGGGGGAAATTGTGGGAATCGAGGTGGCTAGGGACAGGGGCTTAAGTCCCCAGACCCAGGACAGCCTCCCCTGGCACTGAGCCAGAGAGAGTGTGGTGGAGAAACCAGATCTTGGTCCTGAGCGGCCAGCGCACCCGAGATAGCATGGTGTCCGGCCCCTGTGAGGGGCTGGGAGCCTTGCCAGAAGGCAGAGGCTCCGGAGCCAGAGGGCAGGTTCTACAGAGCCTGAGACATCCCCCCCCGGCCCCCGCACTCTTAGACCTGCACCATTCCACCAGAGCCTAAGACGCACGCATGCACCCCACACACTCCCCTGAGAGAGGTGCAGAAAGGCCCAGCCTGGTGCTCTCAGACTCGCGCCATTCCACCAGAGCCTGAAGCCCGCACGCACGCATGCCCCAAACACTCCCTTGAGAGGGTGCGCAAAGGCCCAGCCTTGTGCTCTCGGATTCGCGCGATTCCACCAGAGCCTGAGGCGCACACGTGCCCCACACACTCCCCTGAGAGAGGTGTGCACAAGCCCGGCGCTCTTAGACCCAAAATGACCAGGCACTCCCAGCCCAGGCCAGTGGGAAAATCTCAGCGAGCCATCGCTGCTTAGAACCTCTCTGGCAGTCTAGAGCTGCCCAGACAGCCGCCGCTGCCATGGTTTTGGGTACAAACAGAAGATCCTGTGTCCCCAGGGACCGCAACTTGGAACCTGCTCTGCCAGCAGCCAAGGAGGAATTTATTTGGACTCTGCAACCAGACTGAGGCTTCTCTCTGAGAGGGAGGTCAGGATGCAGTTTGCTTTCCTCTAAACCTACAAAAACCATTAAAAGCGGTCAAGGCAAGGGAAAAAAAAAAAAGTGAACAAACATAAAAACCTCCAGAGAACAAAAGCCTGAAAAAACCGGTTTCTGCAGAGCCCACCCCCTTAACTCAGGGAACATCATTGACTGAAAACCCACGTGGCAGGCCCCCCCCCAAAAAACCAACCAGGAAAAAAAAAAAAAAAAAAAAGACGAGAAAACAACCACCACTACTTCATAGGACAACTTTTATATTTAACTCGTTCCCACTATTCTGGTTCATTTTTTTTATATATATAATTTTTTAACCTATTTACCATCACAGTGAGATGTCCATTACATAAAACTCCATAATAACCTTCTAACCTGAACTTTTTGATTCATACACCTCTGTTTTTATTTTGCATTTTATTTTTTTATTTTTTTTTTAATTTTAGTTTAGTCTAGTTTATTCCTTTTTTATTTTTATTTTCTAATATTCACATAGAGTTAAACTTCAAGGTAATCCCTTTTCCCCAATTAATGCTACCCCTATAGGTAAATGAATTTTTAATCCCCCTTTATCTTAGGAAAGTTGAGTCCTTTAACAAAGATATCAAGATACATCCAGGAAGAATCAAAACAACCTTCCTCACCCACACTGAGAGTTTATTACCACTCTCCCATCTTTTTCTTCTGCCAGTGTTTCCGTGTTTTTGTGTTTGTCCTGATAGTATATAAATCTTATACTTGGGGCTCTTTTTGACAAGGTTCTTCCTTTATTTGCATATTTTTTTTTTCTCTCTTGTCATGTACTTTTATCAGTCTTTTTCTTTGTCTGTTTTTGTTTGTAGACTTCCTAAATCTTACCTTGGGGCCCATTTGGGCTGGAACTTCTCTTTTATCTTCCCTTTTTTCCCAGTCTTTCTCTCTCTCTTTCTTTTCTTTTTTTTTTTTTTTTCTTATTCTTTTCTTTTTTCTCTCATTTGGGTGGGGAATCCTGATTGCTCAGAAGCGTTCCAGGGTACACCTTGCCTGCACCATGGTCAATAGATTCAGCTACATCCATTCAGCCATCTCTCACCAAAATGACTAGGAGGAAGAATGCCCAACAGAAGAAAAATAC